TGAATCAGCCATCTAAAAATGACATCAATTTAACTAATTAAAGAAAAAAAAACAAAGATAAAAGTAGCACATCTACTTTAGTAGTACTAATTTCATCCAAAAACAAATTACTTCAAAATAATTTTTTCAACTGTAACGGCAATTCTATTTTTTTTAGTTGCAAGATTTTTCCACTATCTTTTATAAAAAATTATGTAATTTTATTGTTTACACCATTGTGTAAAGAAAAAAATTTGATTAATTATGAAATTTGATCAATTGGAAAAATTATCTATTGTAAGATTTACTACTGTTGGACTTAATGAATGATAAAATTAGCAGTATCGGCATATAATAATAATTTATAATAATTAATCAAGTTTTTTCTTTTTTTTCTTCACATAATACTGTGATACTTTTTTTTTTTAAATAAACAAAAATTTTATTGATCACAAATTTCTTTTATTTCCACACAATAATTTTACAATTTTTTTTTTTTATAAAATATATTCAAAAAAGCTGCAGTAATTTTCTTATTTCTTTCTTTCTTAAAATACAATAATAATTTTCTTATTCCTTTTTTCGATAGAATAATAATTTCCCTGTTTCATTTTTAAATACAACAATAATTTCTACATATAATTTCAAATTATATGGAATCTTGAAAATCAAATTTTGAATCTCGTACAATTTATAAAATTTGACAAAAAAGTGAAAAAGAATGGACAATAATTTAATAAATTAGTTAGTTACTTGGCCAAAAGAATCCAGTGGTTCAACATAATTCGCTGGTAAATTACCGAAATGGTTACCAATTCTACCATACAACCATTGTTCATTGTTTTGCTCAATTGGCAATGTTCCATCGTTTCGATTTATGATCTAAAAAATTAAAAATGGTAAAATTAAGGAGCAGAATGCGAAATATTGAAAATTTACAGTAATAATTGTAATAGTTAACAATCATAGTCATAGAATAAATGGTAACCTATCTCAAGAATCATCATAATTGTCAGCATAATAATAATTATCATGATTATAGCTATAAATTATTTTCACTATAATCATAATTTATGAAGACAATTTTCGATCAAAATTATTAAGAAAATTTAATACAAACAGAATATTACTTACTTGTATAATATCACCTTTGGAAAAACTAAGTAAATTGGGTTCATTTGTAATATAATCTGCTATGGCACATACATATGTTCGCACCTATAATTATACAACGATATTACTTTTAATTTAACAATTTGACAAATAAATTTCCATTTCATTAAATGGTAAAAATTATAACTTAATTTAATTTCACAAATAAGCAGATAAGATTTTATTCAAAATTCTTTTCAATTACTAATGTATGTGCTTGATAGTAATGCAAATAAAAATACACATTGAATATATTTTTGAATAGAAGTTTATAACTTGAAAAATTTATTCGTCTTCATAAATTGATAATCGTTAAATTTAAAAAAAAAATGGTAGTAAAAAATTAAAGAAATAAATAAAAATTGACAACAAGTCAGAATGAATTAATTTTTTTTAATAACATTTTTTTTTTTGCAAACTTTAATTGCCCATTAATTTTTTAATACAACATTTTTGCAATATTTTTGATTAACACTTCCGGTATACTTCAACATTTTAAAATAAAAATATAACATATACATTACTGCAATTTCAGATAATAAAAATGGGTCAGATATTATATAAGAAAAGATAAAATCATTTACTTTTCCACCATTAATTGACATCATTTTATCAATTAATGCTCGAATTTCTTGTGCATGAATAGATAACAATATTAATTGTGAATCTTGACGTGTTTGCAAGCGTAACTGTCGACCGATGCTATCTACTTGCATGTCGATAATATCCCCATAACTGTATTACAAAAATAAGTATAATATTTTGAAACAAACAATCTAAACAAAATCTGCTTTTATCCTTCAACCAACATGAAACTACTAGTAATAATAAGAGCAAAAATAATTTTATTCACTTACTTGAAATGATCCAAAATATTTGGTCCTATCTTATCCTCAATATCGTCTTGGCTCAACAATCTAAAATATCACAATAATCATTTTTTAATAAAATCTATATTCAATTGATATGTTTGTTTTTTTTTTTTTTTGAAAAAAGAAATATTTCAAATAATTTTTTAGAAGTAATTATATTGATTGAAAGAAATTGGAAATTTTTATACTTTGCAGATAGATAGCTTTGGGCACTTGTGAGGTACGTTAAACAATAATTTCTCAACTAAAAGAAATTTACAAAAAAAAGTATTAAAATATTATTTTCGATTCTTTCACATCAAGAAATAATTGCAAA